AACACCTCTTCCAGCAGCAGCCCCAGCTCTCCCCTCCAGGTACTGGCCAGGCTCACACCTACGGGCTTCAGAGGGCTGCCAGGTGTGAGCAGCAGGTTGACGGAGCTGCGGCCTCATCAAAGCGCTGAACCCCCCGGTTTCGCTTGCTCGCCCCACAGGTAGCCGGCGTCTGTTCGGGGCCGTGCTGGAGGGCAGGGTGTGCATCCTGGTGGACACGTCGGGCTCGATGGAGCCCTGCCTGCCGGAGGTCAAGCAGGAGCTGGCCTCGCTGATCTGGGAGCAGCTGCACCGGGGGGGAGTGAGGTGAGGCCTCCTCGGCCCTGTCCTGCCACAGGCCAGCAGGCGGGCGGGGGCGGGGGCGAGGGGGAGGTCGAGGGCGAGGGTCATTCCGCCAGCGGGCGGGTGGGGCAGGTGCTGATCCATGCCCTGCCGTGCCCTGGGCTCCTGTGGCTCCTGGACTCTCCTCCAGCTCTGTTCCCACGCCATTCTCCCCTGCACGCCCCTGCTGGCTGTGCGCTGCTCCCCAGTGTCTGCGGATGTGGAGCGCGGGGGTGGGGGGGTTCAGTCTGTGCTCTTCGCTGCGGTGGTGACTGCTTCCCCCCCCCCCCATGGTCTGACCCGCAGCTTCGCCCTGCTGGGATTCTCGGACCGGGTGGCCATGTGGCGGCCGGCGCTGGCAGAGCCCACCAAGGAGGCGTGCCACGATGCCGTGCAGTGGGCCTCTCAGCTCGTCGCCCACGGGAGCACCTGCACCCTGGAAGCCATCCAGGTGGGAGCCTTCAAGAGGTGTTGCTGTATGTGACGAGAGGATTCGTTTTTGTGAACCTCCTCCTCCCCATCTTGCAGCAAAGAGCCTGCAGTCCTGTTTCATGTTTCACGGGAGTAACTGCCTCTTTGGGTAAACCAGCACTTTTGCTGAGACTGATGGCATTTCTAATTCCTAGACGAAAGTGAAGACTATCAAAGTAAAGCCTTTGATGAGAGAATGCAAAAAACACACATTACTGTCAGTGTTTAGCTGGTATTAGCTGGATCGTAGAATCAGTTGATTAGGAATAGCAGTTCGTGCGATCAAGTATTATGCCGAAGACGATACTCTGGCTTCTTTCAAGAAACAGCTGGATGAGATCCTGGGATCAGTTAACAATCACACGGACCATGTAGTCCCCTCTAGTTTACTCTCCTTTCTCCTGTTCTTACGATTCCACTGGCAAGTGAAGAGTACATGAGGTCCAGTGCAATAATTTAAGTGATCTGGTGACAAGGGGGGTGCACTTGGACCTGCTGAAGTCAGAAGCCCTCGACCATACCGAGTGTACGACAGGTAATATCACAGAACAGGAGATAAGCTGTCTGAAATAAGAGGAGAAAATAACCAGGACTCACTGTAAAAATAAAAACCGAGGAGTCTGTGCTTCCATGTCGGCTGTTGAGTGCCGAGGCCGAATGTGAGTGTGTTTGAGATTTGCTGCTTGGTCACCAGTGGCCACAGCCTCCAGTGCAGTGTAGGCAGGGCCTGTGTGCTGACGAGGGTCTGTGTGTCGATGAGCCAGGCGGCCTGTGAGCTCGGGGACACCCTGGGGATCTACCTGCTCAGCGACGGGAAGCCAGACTCCAGCTGCAGCCTGGTGCTGAGGGAGACCGCCAGGCGGACGGCAGGGAAAGACATCGCAGTCCACACCATCTCCTTCAACTGCTGCGACAGGTGCCTGCAGGACAGACACGGGCAAAAACGCACACTCTCTCACACATGCACAGGCACACACACGCACACACTCACATATAGACACATTCAAACACGCACGCACGCATGCGCACACTCCTTTTAAGAGCCTGCAGGTGAACCTGTCCACTAGCCGAGCTCCTTGTATTCAACTCAATGAGTCAAATGAGAGCAGAGTCTCTTTCTCAATGGCAATCCAAGGAAGGAGATACACCTCACCGGAGCCGACAACATGACACTAAGAGCACTCAGAAAGTGTGCTTGAACTCAGTTCAAGTATAAATACCAGACCTTAAGTTCCCTTGTGTGTAAGGATCTTATCATAGAGTGCAGTAAAATGGCCTGTGATCTGTGGTCTATCCTGCTGCGCTGGGTTTTCCTGCAGCTCCCCTAAGAACCTGTGCTGATTGTTGATTGGCTCTGCTTGTGACAGCGCGGCCAATGCCTTTCTGAGGAAGCTGGCCCAGCAGACCGGTGGGCGATTCCACCGTTGCCACGGTGACGTGGACGCACATCGTGTGGCTCACAGGATGCTGACGGAAGGCTTCACTGACGAGGATGTAAGCGCATAATTGATTAGTTTCTGATCTGACTGATCTGATCTGATTCTGAACAGTTTTTCTGGGGGCAGAGGGGGGGGGGGGCGGTCCGCCTCAATTTCTACCCATGACAGATCGCACCCTTTTCAGGATCAAGCTTTCCGGGGCACGTTTGCTACACTGCCTGCAGATTGTGGGGGGTCTTCTCCTTGATCCTGAACTGCTGTTTCCTTGTGTTCCCTTTGGGTTCAGGACCCAGTTCTCCCAGCCTTTGAAGGGGACGATCTGAGGATGCTGATGGAGGAAATAGGAAAAGCCAGGCGATTCCTGACACAGGCCAGGGCATTTCGGTTAGTGTGCTTGGGATCTTCTCTGCAGTGCTTCTCCAACAGTTTGCTTATTAGGAGGTGATCGTGTGACCATAGACAGATGAGCAATAAGACGTTTCTTAAGCGTACCTTGTGAAAGGCCTAGAAGGTAAATGTAGTCTAATATCAAGGCAGTTTGACTGGATGTATGACAGTGATGAACCGGCCTTCCGTTCGCTTTCATTGCCTTCGTAAAATAAGGTTTTTTGTTTGTCTCACTGAGCATAGAACTGGGAAAGAATCTGATCAAACCGTGACATCGCTCCCACTGAACACAATGTATTTTTCTCACAAGCAACGCTTTGGTTTCCTCTGTCAGGGCCTTGCTATTGGAGAAGCAGAAGACGCCAGACAGCCAGGATGACATTCCTGCAAGCTCTCAGCCCCAGGTGTATGTCAAGCAAGAAAGTAGAGTTGATTTATAACGCAAAAATGTATAACCATGTTTATTAAGACAAGAGGTAATCCTTAAAAGTTCATATATTTAGCTTGCTTACCAATAGCTATCAGTGGAACTATGTAAAATACTGGAAATGCATATTATTCTAAATTTAAAAGAAGTAGGTTGGGTTTTCTTACTTTTGCATTTTATTGTTGTTATTTTTTCTCAGAAAAACCTAGCATGTTTATATCCAGCAGCACAGAGAACTTTGTCAGTTATGCAACAACCTGTGCATCTGTATCTCTGTTCATTGTACAGCTACAACTTTGTATTTGTATTGAGGTAGATGTCTTGAGCCGTTGATCCAGATGTACAGTGTGAACTGTGATCTTGGGACATGAACGGGTGATCCTGGAATTATGGACATTTTGTATGGAGTTTTCATGGCTGTAAGTGAGACATGTGAAGGGACACAAGTTGCTTTTCTACAGGCGAAGACATTGACTGACATTGTGGGATCTTAACGCTTCTTGATGGACCAGAACTGAGGCTCGCTGAGGGAAGTGAAGGCGTTGTGGACACTAGAAAGAAATCAAGTCACCCTGCCCTACGGGTGCCTGGTGCTCATTGAGAGCAGGGATCTCCAGCACTGATCCTGCAGAGCCCTAACCCAGCAGGTTTTACAGGCACCTGGCCTGTAGAAAATTATCGGTTTCCTGGTGAATTTTGATTAGTTGAAATCATCAGTTTCTAAAAGTCAGGAACACTTTCACTATCACAAATTACACAGGCAGTCGACTCAATTGAGCCACTTAGTGATCATTTGGAACAGAAACTAGAATATGCTTCAGCCCTGCAGGAGAAGTACATCTCTTGCTTAATTGTTCAAGTTTTTGAGACGTGCATCTCTAATCTTTAAATAGGAGTTGATTTAGGGCGGCCTGCTGGAATCACAGGATTGGAGGTTTCAAGGACCAGGCCTGGAGATCTCGGATTTCGAGCTTTCCAGCTGCTGTCCTGGACAGGTGGCTGGGAGCCTTGGTCTTCTTCTGTATTGAAAATGACTGGGACAATATGAAAAGAAGAAACATTTCAGTGGTTTTGGATGAGAGTAAAGGTCAATAGTCAATAGTCCAGACTCTACAGAACAGCCAGCTACAGTGGCTGTTTTTAATCTCCAGCTTGTTAAGAATAAGAAGCAGCCCCACCATCCCCTCTGGCTGATGATCATTAAACCAAAGCAATCAATGTGTGAGACGATATAGTGCTTTTGATATTTTTTTATAATTACTAGATTAGAATAAATACTATTTTGACAAACTCCCTGCAGCTCTTTGAATGATTTCTGCTGTTACCTAAAATGTCATCATTTCAGTGCACTGGACTCTAATACAATATCCTGTGTCTGTATTTATGTTTCTAATACATGTATGTACTTTGGCCAACGGTAGAAGCTCATGCAGTGACTCCTGTGCTGTTTTGAAGCCTGACAGTCTTGCACGTGAAGTATAGACTTTACCGTTGAGGCTCTGGCTACAGGAAGCGTGCGTGGGCATCGTCTGAACACTACGGCCAGGGCAGTAGTCTCCACTGACTGACCGCCTAGGGCTCGGAAGGAGACCTCAGGGTGGCCCTTCAGGCGGGCCCCTTCAGTGAAAGGTGGGTGTCCTACAGTACATGTTGGGGAGAACAGCATCAGCTTCAAAGGATTCTCAAGGAAGGTGCGGTTTTCCTTTATTCCCTCTTTTGCAAACGGTACCTGGTGGTTTATTGATCGCTAGTGATCACACTTGTTTCAGCGTGCATTGATGTGAGAGGATACACAAAACAGTTTTGTGAGAACTTTAAAAACGATCCTCAAAAAAAAAAATACCCTCTTTGTAAGAGACTGGGTGTTTAAAAATAGACGGTTCTTTTATGAACTGGGTAACATAACTAGTTCGCCCGTTTTGTTTGCACATAAACCCCACAATGCATTCTAAAGTAAACCTCACCCTCCGTACATGAGTATTTTGGTGCAGAACACGTACAGTATTTTGGTGTTGACCGCCTCAGTCCCGGCGTCATCCATGCCATCAGCCTGGTTTTGCCAGTTTGAGTTGCAGAGTATATATAATAAGTGTTTGTTTTTTTTTCCCGTGGCGTGTGCTTCGTGCTTCGTGCTTCGGAGGAAAAAAAAACGACAACCAGTAAGACTCCGCGAGCTGCCGTGGAGTCGCGCGGTGCCCGGTTTCACCCGCCGCGGCGGGCGGCGCGAGACGGCAGCCTGCCGACGGCGGTCACTCCGGAGCGCGCTGCTCGGCGCGCGCACCTGCTCGCGGACCCGGCACAAATTATTGCTGCAGCTCCTTCTTCTGTTTTGTTTGTTTGTTTGTTTGTTTGTTTTGGAAATGCATGAGTACAAATTAAATTGGTTTAGTAACGGATTACAACCTCGGTAGCACCTTAAAAATAGGTGTGTGTTTTTTAAGGATTACCCCCAAAGCTCATAAAGTGCCGGGAGTGCTGACTGCACGGATTACGCTAATTACTGTATATAATGAAGCCGCTCGGCGAGGCGGCCAGAGCAGCGGGCGCCGGGAGAGATCTCTCGCACGGTTCCTCCGGGGCTCCGCGGTGCTGCCGGGACAGGTGAGAGAGCCTTTGGGCCGGGGGGCGGGTGTCGCTGCTCTGCTCTGCGACCCTACCTGCGTCCTGTGGTGGGGTGACTGTGACAGGACAGGGGCATCGCCCCGAGGGGTCACTCCGCTCTCGCTCCGCAGGTGCTGGTGCGCCGCACGGCAGAGGATGGCGCTCTGCCGGACCAAGGGGCCCCCCGCGAGGCCGGGCCAGCCTGCCGGCACCAAGCGCCGGTCCAACGGCGTGGTGCCGCACCGGAGCAGGGGCCCGGGCTGGCAGGCGGCCCCGGCCGGCGGCAGGGCGCTGGTGACTGGGGGCGCCGGCTACTTCGGGCGCAGCCTGGGTCGCGCCCTGGCCAGCTCAGGTGTGTCCGTCGTCCTCCTGGACCTGCACGAGCCCAGGTGGGAGATCCCCGAGGGAGCCGTGTTCCAGCAGGTACTGTACGCGGGCAGGAGGCGGGGGTTTTCTGTTTGTCTGCACGGCTTTGCCCTTCGTGGTGTTTTAGGAGGCGGCGATTCTCCATCGTTTTGCCTCCTTGTACATTGTCTGCGGCTCTAATGTCAGTCTGAGAGGGGTGCATCATGTGAAGAGGCACATAAAAGAAAGCAGGGAGTGTCCGTCACACTCAAAGCGGGCGCGCTGGCGAGGAGGGGTGAACTGGAGTTTATCGTGCGGACCTCTCCTGGTGTGCACTAGCCCAGTGTGTTCATGCAGGATACAGCGGACATTCTGGACTCCCTCCCGAACTCACCGCCAGTCGCTGTGACACCCAGTGTTGTAGTGATGAACCCAAAGCAATCGGCCGAGGGAACGCTGGACCTGTATCGTTTACTCCTAATGAACGTCGATCATCGTGCAAACCCTCCACAAGTCTGGGAACTGTGTCAGAAACAACGTGTTGAATGTTTGTTCAAAATGTGAATTGCAGATGCAATTTCTCACTTTTTGTATTTTGATCTGTTTTTCAAACCGATCTGCAGAGTGACATCCGAGACTATGATGCTCTTTATAAAGCCTGTGAGGGTGTGGACTGTGTGTTCCACACAGCTTCGTACGGGATGTCAGGACCAGAGCAGGTGAGTTTAACTGGTTGTTCATTCTGATCTTGCTCTGGTAAGAAGAACCAGAAACATTCAGTCAACCAACGAGGTTATTTCATTTTATGTGTCAGAAATCCTTATCCAGGTGAGCACTGTCACAAAGCCCTCTAAAAAGATGTATTCGTCTAAGACAAGATGAATATAGGACAAAAACATAGCATCGAAACCACAGCCATGCAGTTAATAAACAAAAAAAGTAACACCAGTCTCATTTGTCATAGGTGTAGTGCTCACCTAGAAGTCCTTTAGAGTTTCCGGTGTTACACTAAAGTGTATCAGTTCCGTAAAAGTCTTGTGAATTCGATTTGCTTGTTCTTCAGTCAGTTTCTCTGTTCTCACATGGGGTCTCACCAGAGCTGTGCCCAACTCTTAAACAGGCTGCCTGCAGCGCTTCGCCCTCTCACTGACATGAGCTGAGTCAGGGAGAGCAGTTCTCTGGAAAGGCCCGTCTGCAGGACCGTGCGAGTTAGACCTCGCGGTGCAGGCTGTAGCTGTCTGGGTCTGCACAGCATCTGTCCACACGCCCAGTCATCTAATCCCTCTAATTCCATTCTGAATCTTCATGCTTTCCAAACAGCTCATCGCAGTGAGGAGGGTTGCGTAATCGATGAATCCTTTAAAGCAATTATTTAAGAGGTTCATTAAACAATTAGCAAGCCTAAGGGGAAAACTAATCCCACAGCTGTTAGAATTATTGTTATTCCTTGGTGGCACAGTTTAATGTCTACATCCATTTTAAAAAAAAAAGCTTATTTGCATGAGGCTTGTGTTATGGTGGCAAAATGTGTTTCTATTAAACACCTTCTACAGGACACCTTCCTGGAGACTGCGTGTGACCCACGGCAGTAAAATCCATTTTCTATTTTTTTAATGTCCGCCTCTGCATCCCAACACTTAAGAGTCTCATTTGTTAATATTTGATTACATATCAATGAACAATAAGCATGACACAGGAACAGAGATGAGGCATGATTCAGTAAGTGCACAATATCCACACATTATCCAAAAAACGCATGATAGATCCGCTGTAAATTTGTCTCCATTTGGTTATATTACATGATAACTGAAAAATATTCCATTTTAAAACAGCCAGTCTTACTATACTCGATATTCAGAAGCAAATGAAATTGGGCACAAATCTGGAGCTATGGCAAGAAAGCATTCTCTGGGTTTACAGTTGGACAAAGGTCTTAAGAGCTGTTTGTAACCTCCTACCCTGTGCTTTGCAGCTGAAGAAGGAGCAGATTGAGTCAGTCAATGTTGGGGGGACAAACAATGTCATCAACGGTAAGCAGCTTCTTCAGACCGGCGCAGGGCAAACTCCAGCTTGTTAGAGGACAGCTGGCCTCTGCACCATGCGGGCCCTGACATCCAATCACTGTAAAAACGGTCTCTTGCACTCCATGGAGAGCAGGAGTTCAGTGCAGCAGCAGAAATGTTATTTTTCTCAGTCCTTACTGCATGTGTGTTATACAGGTACTGTAAAAGTACTTAACCTGCGAGTCCAGAAAGCTTTGGCACTGCTATTAATGGGGTTAAACCCCAGAACGCAGAGCTTGCTAATGATAAACTATAATCTGTAGTGTGAATCAGTTTCTCAGCCTAGGATTTCGGGGAACACGCCTCTCTGGACGAATGTGAAGAAAGATGGTAAGAGGTTTTAATATTGTAAAACGATATTACACCCCCTGCCCCACCACAGCTGGCGTTGTACAAGGAGAGTGATCAATAGAGATCAGCGCCTGTACGTTCGGGTCACTTGATGAACTAGGGCCCTCCGTTTGACATCAGGACCTTCTGTAAATACCCTCCGGGGTTCAGTGTAGTAGAAATCACTGCTCAGCTAAAGCCGTTTGAACGACTATGAAATTGTAAGACGTGGGAAAGACTCCCAGGACTGTCGGATTTTCGGAATAGGGACGGAGCATTGCTTTATAATAAAGAGCGTACTGGTGCGCCTCGTTGTTGAGGTCCTCTGTCCTCTGTGTCTCGCCCTGTGTGCCACACAGTTTGTCTCCAGAGGAGCATCCCCAGACTGGTCTACACCAGCAGTGTCAACGTGGTGTTCGCAGGGAGCCCCATCGAGCAGGGCGATGAGGAAACAGTGCCGTGCGTCCCTCTGGACAGGGTGAGTCGGACAGCGCAGCCCCGGGATTCGGCCCGGAGGCAAAATCCTCAGTGCCAGTGAGCGATCTCGGCGTGGGGAGCCTTCGTGCCGAGATGGGAGCTAATCGTGCACTGCCTGGAGAACAGAATGGGAGAAGTGGCTAATCTGCGCGAACAGGGGGAGGCTGCACTTGTCATCTTGCATTCTGCAGCGCCCCGCGATTACTGTCTTAAAGCAGCCGGCGATACTGCTAATCCCCTCGGCTCCGGGCTGCTGCTGCTGTTCCCATTCTCTTGAGCACCGCCCCCTCCCCGCCACGGGGCAATGTGATGGTGCCGGAGAAGAGCGTGGACAATAAAAACGACCACCGAGCAGTTCGTTGGTTAGAGTGAGATCAGGGTTTTGTGTGCGTCTGTGTTAAGGGAGCTGTAGTGCAGAGGGTCTCTTGGATGTGTTAATGATACCGGAGAAGAACTGAACTTTGAGTTGCACTGGTGTTATTAACTCACGGCACCGCTGTGTCCAGAGCTTGTCCGGCTGAGTGCAGAGTGATGTGTTCTTTAGACGTCCAGTGCATTAGCTGGGCAAGTGAGAAATGGCTGCTCCTCTGTCACTGCTTCCCAGTCACTGCACTTCTCAGTCCCTTGGAGAGTCTTACCCGCTGGAGTAGGGAGGAACACCCCCTACAGGCCCACCCTATTCCTCTCACAGCAGCAGCCCAGTGTTCCTCAGAGGCCGGTACTGACGAGCCCAGCCTTGCTCAGCTGCTGAGATCTGATGAGGTCAGGCCACAGGGTGGGAGCCCTGCAGCTGGTTTCGAGAGTGTCTGAGAGCATGGCCATCCAGAGTAGACAGCCCGTGCATTCAAGAGCAAAACGGAGTTATCTGACCTCACCAGACAAAGCAGATGAGTTACACAAAACTGACACATTTTTCTTTTTGAAAGTTGGAACCATCCCCTTTGTGTGTTTTCTAGCCCCTGTGTTTGGAGTTGAGCTAGTTAATTGATTACGCAGCCCCAGGTCGATTGTCCTGTGCGCTGTGGCCCTGGCTGGCACTGGAGAGACAGTTTACACCTCCACTGCGCTTGTCTCTGCAGCATGTGGACCACTACTCCAAGACCAAAGCCATCGCAGACCAGGCGGTGCTGGCGGCCAACGGGAGGACTCTGAGAGGTAGGTGCTCCTCCGCCGGAGCCTGTCCCACCAGGCAGCAGGCACAGGGGAGGGTACAGCCTGGGCAGGACGTCAGTCCACCCGGCCACACACAGATACACACACTCACACCAGGGCCACTTTTCCCACATGCCAATTAACCTACCAGCATGTCTTTGGACTATGGGAGAAAATGGGAGCGCCCAGAGGAAACCCAGGTGAACACTTTGAGAACATACAGACTCCATACAGACAGCACCACTCGTCCAGGACAGAACTCAGGGCCCCAGCACTGAGAGGCAGCAATGCTAAAGACCAAAACACACCACAGAGATCAGAAACAGCAGGTAGGAGTAGTCAAGAAGAGACTTAACTACGGTCTATTTGGGAATTATAGTCATTTGAGGTCACTGGTGCTGAATCGAAGCCAGTTTGGGAGTGAAGTAATGGTTGCCTTTGAGTGCTGCAACTGAATACCACCGAACCCACTGACACCAGTTTAAATTTAGCTCCGCACAATAGAATAAAGTGATGAACTATACAGTTTGAATTTGACACCTCTTGTGTGCATTGACTTACAAAGGAGTTCAGGTGTACGCACACAGTATAGTGGTAGCATACAAAGGAAGAAAGCATTTGCAATTTCTTCTGCAGCTCTTGACACTTACAGTACATGTGCCTGCCTTTGTCACGCTGAGAGAAAGGTAAGTAGAGAAATTAAAATAGATGCGGTAGATTCTGACAGTGGGAGGCCCACTGGCTTGGGTCTCCGTTCTGCTTCCTCACAGTCATGGGATTCCCACCTCGATTCTGACCCGGGGCTCCTTCTGTGCGGAGTTTGCACGTTCTCCTCCTGGCGAGAGCGATGTAACAGTGGGGAGTGGGGAGCTCTGCAGCTCTGTGTGGGTTTTCTCAGGGTCTGTCTCGCCCACACCCACGGCTGTTGCCACCCCTGCTTTGTCAGTGTTTTTGATTTTTCTGGGGGCTGCAGAGGTGGCTGCTTCTCATTCCACAGCCACAAAAAAAAAAACACGATATATTTCACATTAAAAACAAAAGCCCTGCATCCTGAGGCCCGGGTGGGTGCACTTTCTAAGCCTTGGCCTGACAGTGCGGGGGAGTGTTCGGGGGCTCTGGGCGTGGGTTCAAACCCTGGGCGAGACCCTGCTGTTGACCACTTGGAGCTCTTGACTCAGTAAAATGCCCAGGTATAGGGAAGCCTCAGTCAAACACATCAACAGCACTATGTTCTTCACCAGGTGGGGGGCTCCTGCGCACCTGTGTGCTTCGACCCCCGGGGATCTACGGGCCTGAGGAGCGAAGGCACCTGCAGAGAGTGGCGGTGAGCAAGCCGGGTCTCCGACGGTACCTGATCCACTGCCCCTGCTGGAGCTGCCATTGACCGACCCACTCCGTCCGCCTGCCTCCTCACACTGGGGAACAGGGCTGGCGGGAGCCCAGCCCACCCCACACGGAGACACGGTGTAGCTCCAGCCCGAGGGTTTCACCCTGCGCCTAAAACATGCAATATTAATATCTCATTACAGCACCTTCTCCTGATTCTAACAGGACCTGCTTGGTAGGGGTTACTATAGGGCAAGCCACTAAGAGGCTCTTGTAGATTATAATTGGTATCTTGCTTAACCTAATTCGTAGTACATGCTTTCTGTAATTATGCACATGTATGCTGCCATATGTATGTGTTCACACCTGTCAGAAGAGCTTAACCTCTTTAGTAAGTATTTTGTCCGAAAATCCAGCAGGGGTTAGCATGTCTGTTTTGTGCCGCGGGCTGAAGGAGCTCACCCTTTAGAGAAGCGACCTGCATTTTAATTGAAATCTTTTTTTGAGGTAAGATTCTCCCTTCGGTTACTGAGATAACACCACCCTGGTGTGTGTGTGTGTGTGTGTTTGCTCCCCAGGTGAATATCGAGAGAAGGCTCTTCAGCTTCAGTTTTGGGGACCGTGAAGCCAAGATGAACTGGGTGCACGTTGATAACCTGGTGATGGCCCACGTGCTGGCCGCGGAGGGGCTGACCGCGGGCAAGGGGTTCGTCGCGGTGAGTGGCCCGCCCGCCGATGCCCGGCTCTGCGCCCCTGCAGCGTCCCGGGATCGCTGCTGCTGACCGTTCTTCTGTCCTTCCACTTCCTTCATTCTCTGGGTTTCTTCGGGATGTACTCCACGCTGGGGGCAACTTGATTTAGTTCAGTACCGGTAACCGTCACGTGGTAAAGAAATTCCTCACATTTCTCCGCCAAAATGTCGACCAGCCTGCCGGTGTTTCGACACCAGCGCGCGGATCTCACTGAAGGACAGTCTTCCCTCCAGCTGGCCGGTCTGTGACCACGGCTCTCTGTGTTGCAGAGTGGACAGGCCTATTACATTAACGATGGCGAGTCCGTCAACCTGTTTGAATGGTTAACACCCTTGGTGAGTGACTCCTGCTGTGCTCTTTTCCTGTAGTAGGAAATGCAACAGAAATGTCTTGATTCATGAATAGTGAACAAGTCAGGCATGAAGTAACACTAGGATTATTGTAGGCATTGTAGCGACGACATCGCTGTCGGAACTCTGAAGGATATTCATCCACCTTTATTAAACAAGGGTTCCACTCTGAAACATACTAGGGATCAACAAAGCTGTTGTGACAGGTATTATACGATCAGTAGTTCAAATATAGTGTTTATGACCTCATTGTGAGGTGACCAAATAACAATCTCTTTTTAATAATAACATTTATTTTACATACAGTAGCACGTTCAAAGGGAATCATTTCTAAGGGATTCACAATCCATAAAAGATTTCTGTCTCCGAGAGCTTGGCTCCTGGGTGCACTTCTAGACCGGGGAACCTTCTGAGTGGAGTCTGCATGTTCTCCCAAGTGACACACACACCCCCCCCCATGTGTCCACCTGCATATAGAATAATATGAATTGGCGATTATGTTTTTTTAAAAATGGTCATTAGCCAAGCAGTATTCCCTCATGTAGAAATGTTCTTGATATAGCACGAACTCCTCTTGAATGCCTGTGCATTTCAATCGGTAGTTTCACAATAGGAATTTTAATGTCTGGGTTTTGTATTGTTGGATGTATAGATGTCCCGCTGTGCAGTGAGGGCTCCCTGTGTTACTGAAGGTAATCTGTGAATGACCTTGCTATGCCAAGGAACACCCCCTAAAATGAGCCTTTATTCTCAATATTCAACCCCTCCTCCAGGCTAATTTCTTCTCATTTCAAAATCTATAGCATCAGTTCAATGCTATGTACTGTTAAGAAAATCTATCAATGTAATGCTGTGTGTGATGTGGTTAACCTTTATTTGAAATGTCATTTCTGATAGGAGGACATAGCCCTAATGCTAACATGTCCTCCTGCCTTGGTTTCCCTTCAGTTTGAGAAGCTGGGCTACAGCCGACCTCTGATACACCTGCCCGTCTCCCTGGTGTACACAGCAGGTACCCCGCCCTTCCCTGCAGCGCCGCACCTGGCAGTGAGGGGGCACCTCCGGGGCTGGCTTCGGTTCCGGTGCCGAGCCTGCACAGCTCAGTGCGCCCTCTGGCTGCACCACACCTAGCTGTCCAGCAGGCTCGGCCTGTGAGCATGCCGTCCCAGGGCCTCCAGCAGGCTCAGCACTTCCTGCCTTGCTCTGTGTTTTTGGTTATGAGATTTCACCCCATGGGTAAATAAGTAACGTCTTCGTTGTTGATCTTACCCTACTGAAAGTTTGCCACTCCATATTTGCACATCCGTTTTGCCCTCTTCCTGTGATTTTACCGTCCAGAAATTACACTTTTACCTTGCTTTTACCTACGCGCCCCCCTCTACCGCGATGTCCTTCTGTCCCCGGCCTGTCCGCGGTCTCACGGGGCTGAGCTGCCTTTGCCCTGCCCCCCCCGCGGCACGCGCGCCCAGGGGCGGTCCTTCAGCGCGTGCGTGGCAGGAAGGGGGATGAGCACCCGAGACTGAAGCGCCTCTGCCGCTGCTGTGTTTCAGCCATCCTGATGGAGTGCCTGCACGTCGCTCTGAGGCCAGTGGTTGGGATCCCTCTGCTCTTCACCAGAAACGAGGTACCGCCCCCCGCCAGCCCTCTCCCCAAAACAGGCTGACCCAGGGGTGCCTGTCTCCTGTCCTGGGGGCCTCCTCAGCTGCCACCCCCACGTCATTAAAGAACACCCCAGGCCTGGGAAAATAATCATCTAATTGGGCAAAATAATTAGTCTTATTAAGGCAATGAGAGCTCGGGTGGGAAGAAATAACAACACAGGAGAAGACTCTCGAGGACTGGATCTTTCATCACACATGGTATCTTATATCTCTTTTATTTCAGATAACATTTTTATAACTTTTTACAGTGCACTTGTATGCCCACAGGTGCTCAGACTTGCCATACTCTGGTATGCAGTGTGCATTACGCAATATGCCCCACACCTGACTGTCACTGTGTGGAGATTTCTGTCACTAATTAATCTCCTCGTTAAAAGGACATCTGTGGGCAGCAAAAGGCTGTTTTGAAGAGGTCCTTATGAGGGAACTGCCGATAACTCTCACTCGGGGATCTCAGTCTTTCTCACTCTGCGAAGACTTGCTTCTCTTACTGGAAACTAATTAAGAACGAGCAGAGGTTTTTAATTAGTGGCACTTAAACAGGCTCTTAAACAGAGGCACGAACAGGAGAGGTTGTCAGTGTTCTAGGGACATCCAGTCCAGTCCACAGCCTCATCAAAGCTGTTTGTAACGATTAAGCAGATGTAGTTACATTCCTTCATTCTTTCCATCCGAGGTTCGAGCAGAGGGAGAAAACCAAGCATCCTAGCCAGCACTGCGCTGATGCGCCGGACAGCTGAGGACAAGGGGCCACACTTACAAACTGCTGTGGTTATTAGCAGAGCCTTCCTAGATCTCCGTATCGATAAGAAACGAAAAGGCTTGAGGATTCTTTTTTTCGACGATCAGAAACTCCTTCATTAATCCCTAATGAGAAACTCAAGACATGGTCAAAGGGGCAAGTCTAGCGAGGCGGCTGTAAAATTGATGATTGTGTTTAAATAAAATATGAGGCCTCATTCATCGCTGCCAAAAGCCGGCCGAGACGCAGGCAGCCCTCTGTGTTTTCACAAGGTGACACTTTCCTAGCGAGAGGCTGTAATTTCCTTGAGGCTTTTCACCTGACGAGCTGCAGCGCTTCTGCAGGTTGTGAAAGCTGTCTGTATCAGCTGGCGGCAGAGTCAGTCGTGTCTCATGGCGAGGGTGTATTATACCAGCCCTTTACTGCAACAGCATTACGTGCGTGCAGAACAGAATGTAGAGATAACCAGGCTTAATTATTCATGCTTTAAGCAAATACCTTCATCTTCTGTTCTTCTGAAGCTGAAAGCGAGGAAAGCTTTTAGAGGGATGTATTGACATTTTTAGGACTGTAATAGGCTATTAAAATCGAAATTGCTCACAGAGAAGTTATGAAACAGTGGGTCAGACTGACACGCTGATGCTAAGTGTTTTAAGAACTCCACACTGTCCCTTTCCAGAGCTCAGTCAGCTCTGGAGCTCCCGGTTATTGAGCAGGGTCCCAGACGGAGAGCTCTAGGGACAGCTGGAATGCTTTTTCTACCAAGAGAAAACAGGCAGCTAATTGTACCCTGGAACCTGTTAAAATACACGGATACAAGGGATTCACTTAACAAGGAAGCGGAGGAATGCCACAGGATTTTAACAAAGAATTGGGCTTTTTTTTTCCAGCTGTCATGTCAGTGGCCTCCCCTTTCACCTTCTCCTGCCCGGATTGTTTGTTTTAAATAAGAGCATAATGTCCAAACACCCCAGGTTTCCTCCAGTGATGTCTTTGATTTGTTTGAGTTGCCTCTTGCAATACTCCAAAACTCGAGGGGCAGACAGGAGGGGTAGAAAACAGGGGGGCGGGTTGTACTGCAGGTGCCTTTCTCTGTCTGCCAGGGACCTCAGAATCTCTCCGTCTCTCCCAGGATTAAACATGCAGCAGGTGCCCCAGGTGTCTGACTTGCCAGAGCCCTGCCTGTCTGCATTATCGGTGTAGATTTCCATACAGACACGCAATCCGCTGTGCAGTAAGGGGATATCGGAGTTCCGAAGGCGTTCATAAGTCAGCCACCGCCACGCTTTTTTTAAATGTTCTTAAAACAAGCCGAGCCACGGTTTTCTGACCTTTTGGGGTGCCGCGATTTCTCCTGCCAGTGCCCCCGACCCGGCCTGTGACGGCACGCTGGACAGCAGGGGGCGCTGTTTGAATTTGGAAAAGAGATGAGAAACAACTCGGTTGTCAGCGCAGCAAGTTTGGAATCGTTGAAAAGAGACTGTTGTCATTGCTGATTATCATTTAAAACATGTACTGTACCTTAACAGCCGTAGCTATTCATTTCGAAACTTTTCCTGTGTTTGTTGCCGTAAAATGTGTTTCTAGTGCGTTCGGAACTGAGACACGTCTTTACACAAAGGGTTGTGGGTGCATGGAGTAAGCTACTCAGCCATGCCGAGGAAGCACGACAACATTGTTCTTTCAAGAAACAGCTGGAAAGAGATCAGCTGGGCCACTTTGCAAATAAAAACCTAATGAATCTGATCCGCAACTCTGACGCTCGTTTTCAAGCTTTGTGTGTTTTCAAGGGGGGGGGGTTTAACCTTTAAAACCAGGCACTACAATATAGATATGAACAAAAGCAGGGACTTAAGGAGTCCTTTGGTAACCCAGTGAAAATGTTGGCGCAGGCTGCCCTCTGGCGGTGACACAGTGTTTCCCGAGCCGTGCACGGGGCTTGACGGTGTGACCCCCCGTCAAAGAGGTATGGTGTCACCTTCGAAAGACAGTGTTCCCCGAATATTAAGGGGGTAGTTCGCTGTGCGGAGTCGGATCTGCAGTTTTATGGGATAGTACTCATAGTACTAGTACCTAGCACCTGGGCTGGTTTCATACCCTAGTGCGCGCCCTCGGCCCGAGTGTGAGGTCTCAGCAGCAGAGCGCCTGACCTGCCCCCCTTCACCCGCAGGTGAGAAACATCGCCGTCACCCACACCTTCAGGATCGACAAGGCGCGCCGGCAGCTGGGGTTCACGCCGCAGCGCCGCGACCTGGCGGAGGCCGTGGACGGCTACCTGAAGACCCGGGCCCGGAGCCCCCGCCGGCTGCCCGCCTGCCTCCGGGCGGCCCTGCTCCTGGGCGGCGCCCTGGCGCTGCTGCTGCTGCTCTCCTGCGCCTGGGGCGACCTGGCGGCGCCGAGGAGTCTCAACTCGACCCGCCCCTGAGCGGCGCCCACTTCAGATAGGAGCTCTTCACCAGTCCGAGCTAACTGTGGAGAGGTTTTGTTTCCGAGTGGGCCGGCAGCCCGTCTCGCATTCTCTGACGGACCTCGACGCTGCATCAGACACCAGCAGTATTCAGAATCTTAATGACTGAATAAGCCGATACTTCCCCATAGCTAATGTATTGACCAGTGCGCTCAGGGACTTTAGGGACTTGAGGGACACGCTAAGTGGAAAACTGGGGGAAGATCTAGGGTGTTTTATGATTCTGGTCACAGGATATGATGACGGTGGGGGTTAAAACGGTGCTGTACTTTATTCTCTTTTTGCCCAGTTTCACCACGATATTAAAGTTTGCAGTGCATTCTGTATGCACGTTTTCTGCAACTTAGGAGCATTGCAGTGGGGTGCCCGTTTAGTCCTGATGCAGAATGTTGTGGGCAGTAACACCGATTTTATAACAGTGAAACTGGACAGGCTGCCATCATACCTCAGTTGAGTTTTGACCTCTTAACCTCAGTTAGCGCTCTACCCGAGGGTATCTAATCTTATTTTAGACGCAGAAATGAGTAGAGTACTGCACGGCACATGCTGGCTCTCGGAGGCCCTCTGGCGTTCATTCCGCGGTACAGCACCGCTCGGTCTGCATGATAAGGACGCCGCGGACCTGCTGAAGTTCAGTTCGCTCGATCTTGTCTATGAGCCCAGAGCCAGTGAAGAGCGCTAGAATGTTGTGGCAGGACCTGTAACAGCAAATGCAGTTTATAAATGCAATGTATGCAATTTTTATGTCCTTTAAATTAGTGACAGAGAATTTGTAGACTTAAAGAAAAAATTGAAAACTTGTCTTGCACAATTTTATAAAGGGTTTCTAAGCAGGGGTGGCTCCAGAAATAATTATTAGGGGGTGCAGTGTTAGCCAGTTAGGAGCGGAGCCACAGTGAATATTTAGTTTGAATGTGCTCTGGTGTTTGCTGTTATAGTAGTTTATCTCTGAAGGCACTAATGTAGCCAGTCCTGCTTATTGAACAGTGTTTTATGCACGCAATAACAAGGGTTTCTGGGGAATTATTGAAGTCCGCACAGACTGTCACAGGTGATTCTGAAGTCCTTCCAACTGATGTAAAGCTCCTTGAGCTCATCTGTAGGCCTAATGTCTCAATTTGCCCAAGTTTCTACCCTGTCAGTAGAAAGAAAACATCTCCGCAGTCTGTTGCTGTGAGGAGACCAGGAGTGCTGCCGTTTTTAGCTCCCTAAACTTATCTAGTCTGCAGAAAGTAAGACGTTTGTTAGATTTAAATCTATTTTACAAAATGCTTTGTATGAAACACTTGTAACTAGCCCGGATGCCAATGCTGTCTTTGTAATGGAATGGTAATCCACGCGCTTGCTTTTTTTACTGAGACACATTATTTATGGTAAAATGGGTTTGTTTTCTTTGTTGCATCGTGCAGTTTCAGCCTAGTACACTTTGTTTCCCAATTTGGCACAAAGATACTGTATTTTCTGAAATATAATTTGTCTAAAAGAGTGCTTTGCATCTAGACATTTCTAGACCCTGTAGCAGCAGGGATATCAGATGCTCACGGGCTGTTTAACCTGAGCCTTCCTTTTCTAACAGCACTGTTGCAAGTTACAAGCACAAGATACACCTGACCTCATGTATAACTAATCAGCAATAATTGTGAAGGCATTTTATATGTGGCGATTGTTTGTAAATGACAGTATACATTAAATGAAGGATTCGAGTGGACAGCGCTGTGCCAGTTCAATGTGTTTCATAAGGAAAGGTGGTGGTGAGCTGACACCTGTTTGTACACTGTGAAGGACAGACTTTGAACCAGGCGAGTCCCACTGTGCTCCAAGTCCTGCATACTGTGCTTTACACGGATCAGCCAAAGCACTCCGAGGTTATAGAGGCCTCGTATAGAAGGTGATCCGCAGTAACAACAACGACCCTGACCCTGTCACCTCAAAATCAAGCATTACACGACCACTCGCTCCTGTGGTGATATTCAGCATGTAGTTTTTACCCGCTGTTCAACATCAAATTTTAACCTTCTTTTTCTGAACGCTGGTTGACCATTTTGGCTCTGTTAGCCTCGGTAGGAGTCTTGAGCCAAGATGGCGGCCTGCCAGAGACGCCTTCCGACGACGGGAAGTATAGATTTCATCACGGACACCTATATAAATATTATTTGGATGCTGAAAATACATTTATGAAACTTTTAATTTCGGCTTTAGATAATAAAACAATTAACTTTTTGACTGCATTAAACGACAGACTTTTTTAAAAGCGCTATGAAGCGAGAGCCACCTTGTGTCTCAAAAAAATAGCAACGAGAAAAGCAGGAGTACAGTTTGCACTTTCTTTGTGAAAGAAAGTGTCATATATACTGACAGACGCGTCAGCATATATGATGTTTTGTGAGATTGTGGATATGTACTTGGATTTATCGTGAATTTAAAGGTGACCGTGTATTGTAAAATATTTCAGGAAAAGGCCGTTAGACGGTATAAAGCCATAATTCTATGATAAAATGCGATTTTGCAGCGCTGAATAAATACAAACGGGGTATAGGCAGTATTTGACGGGGAGTTCAGAGATGAGCTGAATAAAATACACTGATTACTCTTAATTTCTGTCTCCCCCTTCAATCGTGGTGTTTTAAACCTGCTTTGCAAGTACGGTAGCTTTGTGCGGTTCCCATCACTTAAAAAATGAAATTCGACAATGAATTTCATTCCTATCATTTTATGTTATTATATATGATTTTTTTATTATTATTCGTGTCAAAACCAAAAGACGGAAAAGAAACTCTCATGTGGCAGCGGTGGGATTCGAACCCACGCCATCGAAATGACTGGAGCCTAAATCCAGCGCCTTAGACCACTCGGCCACGCTACCCCGGTAGCAGTTTCTCTGCGGTATCACTGACAAACCTGCAGCAACATTCCGGCCCGCTGACGCAATGTGCAACACGGCGCTCGGAGGACGTGTGTATTTAGACATGTACAATTACACACGAATCCCCTGCGCGAAACTGAAGCGCTCCCACCTCCCGAGAGGTAAGGTTTGAGCGCCGCATCAAAGGCAACGCTGCATGAAGAACGCAAATCTAGAGCGCCGAGGAACAGAAATGTCCTGTGCCCCTCCCAAAAAAAAGAAATAAACACCCGTACTGACAAACGGACAGACGAGGGGAGGTCACATCTGCTCATTGAATCGTCCGGCGAGAGCGACCTGTCAAGACTTCACACCCCCCGGGGGGGGCGGCTGTTGCGCCCGGTGGCCACCAGGAGGCGCTCTGCAGGCTGGCGGCGTGAGAGTCTACGTGCGCCGGGGCGCTGCAGCAGTGGAGGACTGGGAACAGAAACCTGAATCCCCTCCCGTCGAGGATACACACCCCCCCGTCTCCCCCCACGGGCTCTGCCTGCAGGACAGCTTCGGGTTCGGGAAGCCGTGTTGTGGAAAAACTCTTGCAAGAGCGCAGCAACAGGGCGGCGAGCAAGACACGGAGTGAGAGACACGGACAGGCTCCCAGCCTTCCTCCACACAGAAGCACACTCATCGGCGCGTCTATGCATCGGAGGCCAGCTCTGATTGTGCTCAGTAAGGTAGGCTCTTTTACAGTCATTTCCCTGAGCGCTTGTTTATACCAAATCCGTCTGCACGGCTGTGGCCCGGCGAGACGCGGTGCGTGTTTTTTTCTGTCTTGTGACGGATAAGGCGAATCGCTGACAGGAAGCCTTGCGCTTCTCCAGCGTGGTTATGCCCGTTTCGTGAAGAACACTGGTGTGTGTGTGTGTGTGTTTTTTACAAATATATCATTCTGAACCGTTTCATTGCGGCCAGTCTGGGCTCTGCGAGGGGGTATTTCAACAACATCAACACACAAGCATGGAAACGCGTCTTGGCCTGTAATATACTAATCATTGCTAAACTTGTGGCGATCGAAGCGGGGGTACCCAGTTGTTGTTTCCCGCTGTGTGGGGTCGTGCATTTTGTGTTTTGGCTCTCGGTGACTGCGCCCGTATGGGAGCCCAACACTTGGTAAACACCCAGTCCCGCTGGCTGATCCAGCAGACGGGCTGTTTCCTCTCGGCTCCCGAGACCCCAACACGCTGGGGTGTGAGCTGCTGCTCACTCAAACCTGGCGATGCGGTCTGGGACGTTTTATCTTCTCCCTGTCCGGTGTGGCGATTCAAAATAATTCAAAGTAGTTCAGGTAGGGGGTGAACTACGCTGGAAAGAGAGGAGACACAAGGTTTCGGCTGTGGAGCCTTCTTCAGTGACACCTGTGGATTAAACCCCTCACAGTCTCTTTCTGGTGTGGCCCCGAGTGTGCTTTGCATGAGGGCTTTCCTCTCCCCAGACAAGGGGTTCGCGACAAATGGATCGGAGAGTTCGGCCCCAGGGCAGCTGGAGTTTCTGCTTGGCATTGCACAGACGGGCTTGATGGCAGTAGAGTATGGATTAAGCGTCCCGCGTTTCACGCTGAGCGCCAATGTGGTGGCGTTTTATATCGGGGCTGATCCGAGCTCTGGCTGAGAGGAAAGTCGAACCCCTGTCCCTTGACAGGCTGACCCGGCCGTCGTGCGGAATAACGTGCCCACGCCTCACCTCTGGGGTGACAATGAGAGAAATTCATGGGGTTTTACAGGGCTGTAAACTGCTCAAGTGTCTGTGTGGTCCCTGCTGGCCCAGGCAAACACTGAGAGCAGCACCTGGTGGCTGCTTGTCTTGGGAAAGGGGCTGGACTTGACCCCAGGGGTCACTGTGCCATGTGCTCTCATGAGACAGCTCTCCTCTTTCTGAGGTGCCGGTTCCCAGTGAGAGCCTGCAACCTCAGCTGCTGGCGTGTTCAAACCTCACCTCTGTAGTGTGTAATTGAGCGTCCTGCTGTGTTTGACTGGGTCAGTTCACTGCGCGCTTTCTGCTCCTTCTTTTTGCTCCGGTGCGTATTACACTAGTGCTGCTGTAAAGCGCTTTTGAGTTGCTTTTCAAAGAGATCGGAAATAAATTGAACCGTTGTGGTGTGCGTTGGTTGGCCAGTCCGCAGTGGAGAATGCAGTCCAGAGCAGAGTCCCGGCTACTCTTAACCCAGGCTGGAAGTCCAGGCACGAACCTCTCTGTGTCTTGATATCAGCAGAAGAGCAGCTCGCAGACCAAGCCTGATGTGCAGAACGGCAGCCTGCGTGTGTGTGTGTGAGAGTCTGTGTGTGTGTGTGTGAAGGGGGGGCGGGGGGTGTCCCTCTCCAGGCTCTATCACAGCAGCAGACCTGTTTAAACTTCACTTACAGCTCTTGCAGCCTTATCAGCTTCTGGAACCGGGATCAGGCTTTTTATTAACCTGAAAGAAGCTGCTCCAGGAGGCAGCTGAAAAACAGCTGTCAAAAGTCTTGTTTTGAAAGCCCTTTGCAGCTGTGTCGGCTGCTTCATTGAGATAGCGTGTGTTTGTCTTAAGAAACGAACCTGCTGAGGAAACGTGAACGTCTGCTTCATGCCTGACCAGGTTGAGGAAGGTTTTTTGTGTCGTTTTGCTTGGATATTCGTACGCTGAGCCCGAAACTGTGCAGCGGGAGTCTCCCAAGCTCCTGGGAGGTGCAGCTGTGGGGGAGGACCTCACTGGGGGTCGCTGTGCTGGCCGCTGTCCCTGAGGAGGCGGTGTGGGGCCGCGCCGTTGACCCCATCTCTGCTCTGTCCTTCTGTCCCCGCAGCTGTGGCCAGCGTGTGGAGAGGACCCCAGGGGTGCAGCCGGTGACCAGCCGTGATGGAGGAGGAGATGATCTTCAGCATGGAGGAGGTGGACAGCGCCCGCAGGGGGGGCAGGCACGCCGGCTCGCTGGAGGACCCCGACAGCGACGAGGAGGACAACTTCTACATCTGCCCCATCACCGATGACCCGTCGGAGAGCCAGGCCAAGAACATCTGCAACTACCTGAAGAACCTCATCCACAACGAGCAGTACTCCTCCAGCGCGTCGCCCAAGAAGTCCTTCAGCTTCAAGGTGAGCTCTGGGCAGGACAGAGGCCTGCCTTCTCCCTCCTAGCATGAGCTCAGAGGCACCCTGCTGAAGCCTCACGTGTCTGCAGCTTTGAGCTGGTTCCCTGTTCTCTGTAAAGGAGAGACTCCACTACTGGCTGAATTAAAGCCAGATCCCCTTTCAAGCACACTGATACTGTGGTGAGAAAGTTTTGCAGGGGAGAACTAGAGAACTGATTGAACTCTGTAATCTACTAAATTACATGCAACAGCACTGTCTGCAGACATGTCTTGTTTGTTTTTGTTTGTTTTTATCTGCTAATTGTTTTTGCTTTGTAAAAAAACTGGCTGTTGTACTGTGAGGTCCTGCTGGGTGTCTGACCTGCTAAAACCACATGCACGCTCGCTCTCAGAAACCAAGCCCCTTTCATGCTAAAAGACATTATCTGCTTTATGCTTGGGTTTTTGCTTTCAGCATGAAAAAAAAAAAACTTTAACCTGTCTCTAACATTCCACAGAGTGTTGTCTTATTCATAGTCAGGGCACAACAGCGAAGCAGCTGGCTGGTAAGATGCTGTGGTGAAGCATTCTAGAGAAAACCAGATAGCGGCCCCCCCTTCACAATTTAGACTAAAGGGCTTCAGGGACTTCTGTCCTGCTGCAATGAAGAATGTCAGAGTGTCCTCTGATTTCAAAGAAAGCTCAAGAACGATGTAATCTAGATGCCAGACTGCGCTCTGAGTGTCAGAGTATAGCTCCCTGACTCTTTATTTACATCGCTGTAGGCATGTGCTCGTCCAGTCTCAGAGACAGGCTGCAGCCTCCTGTCACAGTCACAGACAGACGCTGCCTTATAAGGCACTGAAACGGACAGATGGCTATGCTGAGTGTGTCAAGGGCTGGGCCTCTCTGGCTCCTGCCCTGGGCTGCTTCGAGCCCTGAAGAGGAAAAGGAACAGAAATAAAAACAAATAATAAACTGCTTCCTCTATCTCCAGTGTTGTGCAAACAAGATCTGTTATTCTTTTTTGTTTGTTCATGTTGAGGGTAAGGGAAGTTTATGTGTGAGGTGCTGTGTTTTTTTAAAACAAACGTACAGTGCAAGAGCTGTGCATGTTCAGTTTTTCTACATTTCTCACAAGTGTAAATTCCAAACAAAAAGCTTTAAACTGTGCACCTGTAGTTCAGAGCTGTAAGACTTGCCTTCTCATGCTGCATTTCCTGCAGGAAGTGATGTCATAATGCTCCCTTCCCCCGCTGACCTCAGAGCAGGGTCAGGGGGCGATCAGCCAGTGAGACAGAGGGGGTTGTTCAGTGTCCGATATCCCAGATCACTCCTCCACAATACATGCTCTTGGCATTGGCCCATGTGCCTGACCAGGAGGGGGAACCCACCTAGAGGATTGTGATTATATCATTTCCTCTCCTTTGAGTTAGATTAATCTCTTTTAGCCGTTTATGTTGAGCCACCAGGTAAGTCAGTTGAGAGCAGACTCTCATTTATCCGACACCCTGGAGGCCCATTCATACAGGAGGATCCTGCTCAGGAGAATCATAGCTGAGTCCCAGGATTAGAAGCCGTACCAATCCAGTTCAGAGCCCTGACCAGTCCTCTGCCCGGCTACGTTAACCTATCTTTGCTTTTTTCAGTTTAGAACAAAAAGTCATAAAAAGACAATTTACATCTGAATCCCTTTACTGTGGGGCCCAGAGGTAGCAAAGGTGTTTTTGATAATGTATGTGAATTTATTTAAGCAGATGTGCTGTAAAACAAGGCAACAGGACAAGGAGTTTGGAAAGATGCAGAAGACTTTCTCCTGAGCTAACTGTTCTTAAAGTGCTGTTTTCCTCTGTAGCTCATTAACCCCCACACTGCCTCTGCCTCACTCTTTCCCATGTGTCCTGTAGAAAGAACCAGAGGCGCGATCTGTCAGTTTTGGGGTGTTGTCTGAACGAGGTCGGGTAGGTTCCGCCTTCACATCGAAATCCACCTTCCCGCCATCGCTCCCATCCCTCTCCTCATTCTCCGTCCTCTCCTGATCCGTTCTCCTCCTCGTCTCTCCTCTTCACAGGCTTCCCCCCACACACTGCACCCGATTCTGTGCAAGCTAACTCTCACAGTCCATCAGACGGGCTGGGCCTCCCCCCTCTCCTCTCTGTTTCTTTCCTGCACAGTCTTCCTGTCTTCCCGAAATCAGGCCAGCTGTACTGTGTATTGCATGGCTGCAGGGTACAGCCAGAGCAGAGCTTCCTGATCCCATTGACTTTTCTTCTATCGATTGCTTTCCCTTTCATCTAATGAAGACAGTACTGATCAACTGCCGTGCTCAATCAACACAAGTGCTCCCTCGTGCTTCTCTTAATTAGTGCTCCCTCGTGCTTCTCTTAATTAAGTGTGGCCTTTTAAGACTGTTCCATTGACGGGAGCTGCTGAACTGTAGACGTCCTTTACTGCCGTAGCCTTATGGCTTGTGCTTCTGCCAATTATGGCTTGGTACTTCCGTGGAAGAGAACAAGTTGGCTTTCGTGCTGGTCACAGAGTTCTGCGACGCCCCGATTCCTGATTGGGCGTCTGTTCCGTTTGTGTGCAGGCGGCGGACTGACCAGTCAGTGCTGCGACAGTCAGCTGATTGTGTTCAGGATGATTTCGTTGTTGACGGGGTTACAAAATCAGACAGGCTGGGGGCTGTGGAGGTCCGAGTGCAGAGTCCAGTGGCAGTGGAGGCAGGACTGTGAGAGTCAATATTATGAAGTGGGTGTGTTGGTTGGACACAGAAGTTACTCTGCACTCCTGATCTCTGTGCTCTGGATGAGCAGGTGGTTAGGTTGTCTGTCAAGTAGACCCAGGTAGGGTACCTTCTCCCCAGTGAGAGGACGAGGTTCTTCTGCAAACTTCACACCTGGTTAAGCCCTTTCCGTTTTCTGTGTCTTCTTAAGTATTGCATTATTGCATGCCGATTCCATCTCTAATGTACACTTCTGTTTTAGAGCAGCAGGCGATCACAAAGATATGCTTGGTGTTTCTGCAAAGGTTGTCTTTTCATTGCCTTCTAAGCCTGTCCAGAAGTTTGAATTATCATATCCCTGTGAAGTGAGCATTCAGGCTGTGTATCGCCACCAGTGGTAGGATATAGCCTCCTGCTCCAATAGTTATTTTAATATTTTGAATACAATCGAAAAAAATCTCAAGACCTACTCTAAAAGTACATCTTATTCCGTGTTTGAACATTTCTGCGTCCTGATAACGGCCAGACTTTGAGGTGTTGGGGGTTGTACAGTACTTGGCTGTTGCCCACACAGTGACTGCCATTCTGGGTGTCCTGGGAGGTGGAGCACAGTGAGGTGGGCACTTCACCTTGGCCCTGCGCCCAGACTAGTGTGGACAGAACTGTATCTGATCCCTAAGGAAGAGCTTCTGAACGAAGCTGCTGTTGAACAGATTCCACTGTGGTCACTCGAGTCTGATTGCAGTGTGTTTACAGGGAGAGAGCTAGCAGTAAACAGCAGATGCTAATCTGTAAAGCCTGAGCCAATCAAATAAATGCAAGGAGTTTGCTTCTCTTAATGCATCAGTTTGCCTATGTAATGTGCCTTAGATATTGTCAGATTAGGTTTGTGTGGCAGTTACATTTAAAATCCTTATAATTTAAAATCTGTGTGGAAAATGAGACAGGAAAATACTAACGGATGAAAATTATTGAGTTGTTATATATAAAAGAAGTGTCATGTTTTTGTATCGTGTGTTTTGTATCCTGTTTGCATAAGCGCAGTAGAAATTAGACACAGCAGGGGTGGGTCTGATCCTCTGCAGTTTCTAAAACGTGAAACGGAGTAGACTGCTGTGAGCCAGGAGTCTGCGTTGTGTGTGTTCATCCAGATGGTTAAGGACCGGAGCTGCTGGTGAATGAGAAATGTGTCCCTGGTAATGACCCAGCGATTTTGTGGTGCCACGCTGTGCCAGCCAGTCCTTGGAGGCAGGGCACTGGGCATCAAAACAGATGCAGATGGGCCCCTCTTTACAATAAGAGGGTGTCAGAAAACAATGGCACTGTATCTTGCCTGGATACTTGTGTTTTGTGTGCATTATGGTCTGTATTCTAAATGTCCAGCTTCTTTGGATCTAAAACCACACAAAAGCATACCTCAGTGGACACAGTCCCTGTAGTCCTCTTTAATCTGTATATGTTGCCCTGGCCACCCTTGCACACGGGCTCTTCTGTGCTGAAGATAAGTGTTTTACTTATCAAGTGCTGCGCGTGTTTATGTAAATATCTTTAACAGGTCTTAGCTTTATCCCCTGAAGTGTTTACCCCTTCTGAGCTCCGGAGTCCTCTTGCCTCTCGGTAAACCTGTGGCCTGCTGTGTGTCGTAGCTCTCAGCTGTTTGTGTGTGTGTTTCTGCTGAAGCTGTGGAAAAAATGATCAGTCTCGTCGGCAGCCGGACTCGGGGGGGGTGGAGAGACTGCCGCTGCTGTAAATCCTGGCTGTCGCAGGGGCTGAAAGCGCCTGGGCTTGTGGTCATGATTTCTTCAGCTTCTAGGTGTGCCTGGGCTGTAGCCTGGCCTTTTTTTGTCCTTGTACCCTGAACGCCAAGCAGACCCCATGTCGTGCCTGAACATTGACCCAGCGTGATGTGAGCGCTCAGCCATGCCTGTCGGTGTCGGGGAGGCTCTGAAGCCGATGAGAACGAAAGCACGTGTCGGTGTCAAAAAAGATGTTCTGATGGCAAAAAGGCAACCTAAAACATCCATTGGTCGCGCTGCTGGCCGAGTGGCGGAGGCCGATTGGCTGGAATGTAAAGCCCAGCTCCCCGCAGAGCTCGACACCCCTGCTGCCTGTGCTTTCGGCCTCTTCTTCCTTCTGCGCTTCCCCATCCCTGTGCGTCTGACTGACTGGGGGGCTCTGCACCCTTGTGGTGATTTTGACGTATTTTCCATGTCTGCGCTCCGCCACAGGAGGCTTGGAAGCATGCCATCCGGAAGGCCAAGGCCATGCCCGATCCCTGGGCGGAGTTCCACCTGGAGGACATCGAGACAGAGCCCTGTGTGCGATACAGGTCCGTGCCTCCGGCTGTCTTGTCTGTCCCTCGGTCACACGGAGCACCGGTGAGGCGTCGGCCAGAACGTGCTCGGACACGGACCCTCGTTCTGCTGCAGTAGTCCCCTGTGATAGTCAGACATGAAACTGACCAGATCGAGCTCTGTACGTCTTTGTTCCGTGTTCCAAGGTTTCAGATCTAACAAAGCACTCCTCTAGCTATCCCTCCCCCCTGCTCAGATTGCTTTCTCTTTATTAATCCCCGTCTGTGGCCCTTGTAATGACTGATGCCACTGGCTCGAGTGGCCTCTTCAGGCTGTTCCCCAGCCCTGACAGATCTGCTGCTCTTGCTAATCGGGTGATGACTGTGGCCCCCCTGTCCCCTCTGTGCTGGGCTCACACGGACTGGGCTGAGGCTGGGCCGCCGTCGAGGAGCACAGAGAGGGCAGCCGCGTTGAGGTTTCAGAGTACTGGAAGACGGGGGACTTCTGAACGGGTGTGTGGTGTCACGGCTCTGGGCCTGTACAACGCACACTGCGGCAGGCAGCTGGTCAGTGATGGGGCTCTCGGCTTCTGTTTGAACCTGCTGCTCTTCCCAGAGAGCTGATGAGGTCAGTCCGAGTGGAGCTGGAGTGCTTGTGAAGTACAGAAACGGGCCGGGGACCTGTTAAACCCCTCAGCTGGGAGGTTTCAGTCGCACCAAGTCTGCCGAAGAGAGTGTGAACAGTACGCACCCACCGTAGCCCTGTCTGGGTGTGTTAGTAATCAGAGGGCAACATGTGGCCTGATCCCTGTTGGAGGCTGTCCAGGAAGCGTGCACACACACACACACACTGCTCCCTTGTGCACACTCTGCAGGGACCAGGAATCTAATAATACTGGAGGCGCTGAGCCGTGTTACACAAGTCTGCGATATTATTAACCTCATTTGTACCTCATTATTTGCCAAGAAGCCCTTGTAGGCCTCCTGTCCTTACGATTCCAGATATTCGGGGACTCACTGAGTTGCCTTTGTGCAGCTCCTTATAACGCGGTCCTTTATAGTTCCTGAGCAGGGATGAGAACTCTTCTGTTTCGGGCTTTAATCTGTCCCTCCAATTTAACATTCAGCCCGTATTAACGACCTTAAAGTTAAGTGACACTGTCATTTCAGCGGTTCTTTCAATGAATGTCTTGAGGTCCACAGTTCACATACTGTCAATAACGTCTCTGCTCCATGGTACCCAGGCAAGCTAGGGTCCACAGAGCATGTGTCCGATCCCCTCGATCACTCCTAGCGTGATCCTCTCGTCAATGTGTGTGTGTTGTGCCCGCAGGTACAATGCTGTGACTGGGGAGTGGGCACAGGATCAGGTCTATATAAAGATGGCCACCCAGGTGAGCTCTCGGAACAAACAGAACGTCATTCCAGTTTTCATTAAGGCTGAGCAGCTGTTGTCATTTTTTTAAATTACAGCAGGCTGGGCCACAGTGGACCTGTAACTCATTTTAATGTGTTTAAGTGTTGGCAAATAAGCAGCTGGTTAGATACTAAACAGCTCTCTGTGTGTTGCCGGGATGGATGTTTCTGAGGGTGAACAGCCACTAATTAATCTCTGCTTGGGTTTGTCTCCCCAGCCCTTCGGAAGGGGAGCCATGAGGGAGTGCTACAGAACGTGAGTAGGCTAATTCTGTCGGCGTCGCCTTCCACTTCAGGGAAAAATAACCGCTCTGCGCAGGTCTTTCTTCCCTGCTTGCTCCCTCGGTGGAAAAGAATTTGGTTTGCCGTTTGCCCGCTGGACGGGCCCGATAGTAGCTCTCTGAATCACGGCGCCGTGACCCCATCTTGCATCGGGCTCTTTTCTAGTTGTTTGTTTGATCAGATTCGACGAAGTGACGTCAGCGAGGTCCAGAGAGCACGTGCTAGGCTCCTCGTTTGTCGGAGCGGGGATCAATTGTTTAAACGAGGTTAGAAACAGGAGGGCAGCTGGTTTTGAAATTGTGGGAAGCAAAACACAAGAGCTGGACTTTGTCACTGTGTTTTCTCATGAACAGGATAAGGCCGGGCAGACAGCTGAGGATGTGAGCTTAACATACTGCCTCACCACATCTGGCACAGCTGTCACCTTCACCAGTCTCACCCTTTCAACAGCAGTGTGTTAGTGTGGTGCAGTGCAGGCGCCCAGTTAAATGCCAGAGACAGAAATAGAAGTGGATCCAATTAGACACCCAAGTCTGGGCAGTGGTCACTACCTTGAAGATGACCGAGGGACTGCAGTGTCCATTCCCTGCAAAGACTGCAGAACATGATATATTTAGCAGCCCATCCAGGAACTAGCTTAGTGCAGAGATAATGTTTAGTACAAAAGCACGTGGAAGTATTGCCCAGATGTTATCGTTTTTTTTTTTATTTTGGGGCATTTTATCAAAACAACAGCAAGTGCAAAAAACAGCCTAGCAGTGTTCCTTTTTAAAAATGTCTAATGCAGACTCTCGGTGAAATTGCTGATGAAGAAACACAGTACAAACTTAACTGGCCTGAGTTGCTCGTTCATGCCCCTGGGGACTGTGGGCCCGGAAGAGCCGTGACTGGGATCTCTACCCACTCTTCAGCACAGATCCTTCCAGCAGTTCAGATTTTACATAGACGTTTAATCGGTCAAGTTTTTGCAAGAATGCAAAGTTATTTTAATGAAAAAAACTGGAAAGAAAAGTCTGTTTTTGCACTGAAAGTGCAACCTAAGGCCATATTTAAACCGCAGACAAGTCACCCAGGGACCTCCAATCTTATAATAATAATAATAATAATAAACTTTATTTTATATAGCGCCTTTAAAGGTGGCTTCTCAAAGCGCTTTACAGGATGACAAAGAAGAAAGAAGAAACGTGGAAGGACAGTTTTTATCTGAAAAGAGGCCGTTCGCTGAGAGCAGCTCATTTGCAGATTGAAGAGCCGTGAATGTGAATGTGCAGAGCTGAGCACGTCTCGCAGTCTGTTTGCTGAGCAGGATGGGGGATGGGGAGGAGGTGGGCGTGTCTGCTGCGCTGGCAGGGAGTTTCTGGCCTTCTCTGCCAAGACACGAGGAAATGCAAACCGTGTGTCTCCCGATGCAAGATAAAACACTGCCAGAGGAGGCCAGCCTGCACGGACAGGGGGAGCTGGAGCTGTTTTTAGCTTTAGCTGTGTTCAGTTTTTATTCTGTTTGTTTGTGTTTTCACTTGGGGAAAGGGCATTTAGAACCCAGAACAGGAGGCACGTCTTTACACAAAGTGTTGCGGGGGCATGAAACAAGCTACCCAGCCCATGGTTTTGAAGCCAGTGCCTTTGCTCCTTTCACCAAAACACCCTGAATAACAGTAACAACCAAGACAGTTTTCCTCCTTGATTTGTAAAATGCCAGATGTCATTTTTCAACCCCGCTGTGCTGTCTGCCTCCCCCTCAGGAAGAAGCTGTCCAACTTCTCTCACAGCCACAACTGGAAATCGGCCTCCAACTACGTGGCGAAGCGCTACATCGAACCCGTGGCCAGGGACGTGTACTTCGAGGACGTCCGGCTGCAGATGGAGGCCAAGCTCTGGGGGGAGGAGTACAACCGCCACCGGCCGCCCAAGCAGGTACCGCAGGGCTGGGGGCGGGGACAGGGGCGGGGCACGGCCAGGGGGCGGGGCTTGGCGGGGCAGGGCAGGGGGCACCACCATCCTGGCGGCCCCACGGACACAGGCATGGGCCTGGGCTTTGACTGGTAATTGTTTGGGTTACCTGGCAGAACGCCACCCGTCTCTTCTTGTTGAACGGGTTTTCCAAACGCGGACAGACTGGGCAGAGATCGTTTTTTAAAATTCCTGATTTCTGCGTTTGGCTCCTACAGTTTTGTTTCCCCGCGAGTGGCCTCCTCCATTGCAGGTGGTACGTCGTGATACGGGTGGCGTTCTTTTTGTCTGGCACTGTCCAGTCCACCCCCCCCCCCCCCCCAGAACACGGTTAATGGAGCAAAACGCCCAGAACAAAACCGACCTGCGGGTGCGAAACAAACCAGACTCCCCTTTTCTGAGAAGCGACTCCTTGTGCGTTTTGATGTTGACGTGACACTGCGCGGTCCCTGGCTCGCGTAGGGACAGCCCATCTGACTCCAGCTGGCCCGTGTTTTCTGCTGCTCTCCAGCTTTCTTCTCTTCCCTGCGTTTGGCTTTTTCCCCTCCGAGACCTTGTCTTTGAGCGCTGGGGCACCCGACTGGACCACTAGGGGGGGGGGCGCTACTGGCGGCTCATGGCGGCATTTGTTTTCGGTGTCTCAGCTGTGCGGGCTCGTGGAGCAGATCTGCAGCTACAGTACGTGAGCCGCAGGAGTACAGTGTGTTCTGCGAGCGAGTGGACATGTGTGTGTGTGTGTTTGGGAACTGGGATCCTGCCAGGCTGTGTAGCTCACTACAGATTCCCCCACAGGCACATACCATACATGCCTTCCCCTGCACTTGCGCCGGTACTGCCTCACACTGCAGCTAAACACTCACACTACTGGAAGCCACTTCAGCCAGTCAGGCCTGCCCTTTCATTCATGCATGTTTTGAGATATACAGTATTAATCACCAGGAAGTGGGATTTGTATCTGGAAAGATACAGTGCGTATTGTCTGTGCAGTGCTGTCCAGGAGGCCCCACCCCCTGACCCTGTGAGCACTGGCCATCTCCCTGATGTTGACCTGGGCCCCTGAGGTCATCTTCTCTGTCACGGCTAATGTCAGGGCCAGGTCACCGCCCCCTGCCTCGTGACCGCGGGCTGTGGTAACTGAAGACAGCTGGTGACGGAGGCGTTGGCTAAGTACGGTAAAATGAAACCAGGCACCCTGGGATACCCTGTGTGTATGTGCAAGACAAGACAGACGTGCCGATCATCTCCTTTCAAGACAGGAGCTGGGATCTCTCAGCCTGCAGGGAATGATGTCAAGTGGCCGGTTTGGGTTTTCAGCGTGCTTGACGCTCCTGCGCGGTGTTGCTCCTGATGGCACTGTGGAGTAGCAGTGTTAACGCGGCTTCGGATCCGCTCTCTCTCCCAGGTGGACATCATGCAGATGTGTATCCTGGAGATGACGGGACGTCCCGGGAAGCCCCTGTACCACCTGGAGCACTACATCGAGGGCAAGTACATCAAGTACAACTCCAACTCCGGCTTCGTTCGGGACGACAACATCCGCCTCACCCCCCAGGTCAGCGCCTCTCCCCTTCGTCCGGGCTGTAGGGTCTCACTCCCCCTCTCCGTTTCTGCTCACTCCCCTCTCACACTCCTCTCACACTCCCCTCTCACTCCCCTCACTGGTTCCCCTTTGCCTTACTGCTCTCTGACTCTGTCCTGTCCCCCTGCGCCCCTCCTCTTCGTCACACTGTTTCCCCCTGCTCCCCTGCAGGCCTTCAGCCACTTCACCTTCGAGCGCTCCGGCCACCAGATGATCGTGGTGGACATCCAGGGGGTGGGGGACCTCTACACTGACCCCCAGATCCACACCGAGAAGGGCACCGACTTTGGAGACGGAAATCTGGGTACGACGGCGGGGCCAGGGGATCTGTTAGCCCGGTGTGTGTATTTCCATCGGCTGACAGGGGTTAAAGACGTGCATCGGTTCCAGTTTTTATCTGTTGCATGTTCAATGCCTGTGAGCACACATGCTGCCCTCCCTTTCCAGTTGCGCTCTGCAGAGCCTTGTGGGTGAAGTGGCTTATTCTGTTACTTACCCCACGCTTATCCTACAAAAAGAAGATAGCAGCTGTGGTCTGTGTGTTGCAAGCGAGACAGTACGTAGGCACGAAAGTGTTCACTACTTCTTAGGTACACTGTTCATGCACCAGGCACCGACTTGCTTACTGGGACGAGATGATAGCCCCTCCCCGCCCTGTCCTGACTGGCCGCTGTGTTTTCTGCTGCAGGGGTGCGAGGCATGGCCCTGTTCTTCCACTCCCACCTGTGCAATAAGATCTGTAAGAGCATGGGCCTGACCGCCTTTGACCTCTCCCCGCAGGAGCGGGCCCAGCTGGATTGTACCAACAAGCTGCTGGTGAGTGGGGCCGGCCCCCGAGCCGCTGCCAGCCCCGTCCGACTCTCCGGTCTGACCCCCGTGTTTCCCTGCCCCGCAGCAGTCCGCCCAGACGGTGCTCCGGGGCTGTGAGGAGCTGTGCGGCAGCCCCCGCGTGCGAACCATCTCGGGCAGCCTCCCCCCGCCGCTGCTGTCCCGCCTGTCCGAGACCTCCTCCGCCGACGACAACATGAGCGACGGCCCCTTCGACTCCCCGCCCTGCTCCCCGGCCACCCCCCACCTGGACTCGCTGGGCAAATCCCCTCTGGGTGAGCCTGAGCCGCTGGCGGAGAGCTGGCCCGCGGGGCTCTGGGGGTCCGGCAAGCCTGGCAGTGCGGAGACCGGCGCTGTGTCCGTGGGTCTGCGTTTGGGTTTGGGAGGGACTGGGTCGGGACGCGTTAAGGGATGATTGTTTTTCCCCGCCCGCCAACAAAGCGTTCTGGTTTCTGTCCCGTGTCCGGCAGGCTGGTCGGTGCTGAACAACATGGACATCCTGGCCAACGAGACCAACAACAACAGCATGGAGCCCAGGGTCAGTGTCCGGCGGCCTGTGTCTGTCTCCGTTTACCGCCGGTTGTTCCTTGGCTCTGCCTCATGCACGTCTCCTCTTCCTCCCCCCCCCCCCACAGGACTCGGAGAGTGGGGGTGACAGTGGGTACCCCAGCGAGAGACGCAGCGAGGGGGATGACCTGGAACACAGAGAGAGGGTAAGACTCCCTTAAAACGGGGCCCGCCGTTGCGCACACGCGCGTGCACACGCACGCAAGCACGCCCTCCTTCCTGAAGAAGAGCTGAAGCCTTCTGTCAGATCCGGGTCCGGCCACCGCCTCCGAATCCTGACCGCTGACCGCCGGTCCGAGGGCTCTTAGCCTCCCTTTCTCAGCTGGGCCGAAAGACAACCTTTTTCTGCCGCTTCGCCGTTCCGAAGGGGGAGGAAATCGCGAGCAGAGGAAGAGTGACCCGTCCGTGTTGCACGAAGTGCACCGAGGTGGCGATGGTCTCGGGGCGCGAGGAGGGCGGGGAGAGATCCTGGCGTTCCCATTCCTGCTCCTCCTCCTCCACGGGCTTCCCTCCTGTGGCCTGCGGGGGCTTTTTTCAGCCGAGAAGGAGTTTCTGATGTCGAGGTCGTGTTCGCAGGCCACGGCTCTTTTTTTATTTCCCAATTTGGATCTGCCAGTTCTCTTACACGGTCGGCCAGTGACGTGAGCCGGACTCGAACCGGCGACCTTAGACCTCGACCTCAGCGCCCCCCCCCCCCTGCGGGCAATTGAGCCCTTTTGAGCCCCACGCCGTGGTGCGATTGGCCTGACAGGCAGCTCCGCTGAAACCCCCGGACCTAAGCCCCACCTCCGCCACTTCTTCAGAAAATCATCACATTGCCTCAGCTGGGTGATCCAGGGCATCATTTTCAGTCACTGAGTCCTCAGCGCTGTGGCTGTGCTTCCTCGTGGGCACGCGCCCTTAGGGAAGCCACACCCCTGCCTGTGTCACCTTGCACGGTCGCTATCTGGACACGTGAGGGAGCGGCTTGGCGGGGGAGCATGCAGTACTGCAGCGGTATCCTCTGCACGGGGCTGGAACGAGGGCTGCTGCAGGAGCTCTGATCGGTGACGCCATGTCCTTTTACGTCACCACATAGGCCAGCTGGCTGGGTAGCAGGAGGCCGTACGAATCAGACGAGGACAGTATCCGAAGGGTAAATACGGACATCCCCTCCCAAAGTCATCATCATCACCACCGCCTAACACCCCCTGCCCCCCTCCCTCCCTGTCTTCTTCAGAACCTCACCTGGCACCCCTGGTACCTGTTGGGCTTCTCTAGACTTAGTCACTGTGGCTCACAGCTTTTCCCTGGTGTTTTTCTTTCTTTCTCCTAACCAGAAAAGAGTGGCGCTCCTCAACAAGCCCTCCTTATCTCCCAAACACAACCCCCTGAACAGACCGGTGACTCTTCAGTGTGCATGGTGCTGGCCTTGTGTCTGAGAGCACTGTCCTCTCCCTGTGCCCCCTGAGACCCCGGGCTCTGTGCGTCTGCACTGTGGTGTGGATACACTGTTGTCATAAACGGAGACCTTGCACCAAAGTTAAAGCCAGCCTTTGTGGTTATATCACGCTTTTTTAAATTCAGACCATAAAGAAAGGAATTATTTTAGGAAAGATGTACTTAGTGGTGCTATAAAATGAGGGGCTGGTGTTGCCTGCAGATGCGTTGAGGATATCTGTGCATTCCAAACTGGGGGATATCCAGGTGAATGCGTAGCTGTTTTATGACAACGTGTTTTCCAGGCATGCGGTAACTGACGATTGGTGTGTCTGTGCCCGAATCGGCGCCCGTATTCCCTCAGGACCTGTCAGTTTTGATAGGTTGCTGATAGTTCTGATATTTGAGCCTGTTGATCAGCACTGATAACCTGTGCATGACACAGTGCCAGTCACATCTGAACCACCTGATCGCACCGTTTCCCAGCTCGTTTTGGCACGTGTCCAACTGAGAGCACAGATAAATTGAACTGAAGATGTCTTGTGGTATTTCCTGTTAAGTTACGACGCACACTAAAAACGTGCAAATTGTATTTGTGTGTTTTTTCCTCAATCGGAGACAGGCCCACAAAATAGCCTGAATCTCAGCACCTCTATTATGCTTCTTGAAACGGCAGTAGACGATGATTATATTGTAATAACCAGATCATTATTCATCTGACAGCGTTTTGGTTACCCCTTTCCTTACTGCCTGACTCAGAGGTGACCAAGGGTTTTGAGTAAAACACTCAGTCAGTGTGTGTTTTTTATAAAGAGGTCTAAATTTCTTTAATCTTTCATCTAAAATTGCATTTTAGAAATTAGTACTTCTGAATTGTGGGAAGTTCCTGTAAATCAGGAGCCCCAGTTAGTGACTCTACAGGCTATAGGAAGTGATTAAATGAAGGAAGTACTTGGAAATGAAAGTGTCTTAGTGTAGATCAGCAAGGTGCAGCCCACTGTTCAGCCTTGCTGTCGTTGAGCAGTGCCCTTCTGTCGGCTGACAGAATTAAAAATGGGCAGATCAGATTTCCACGGGGCTGTTGCAGTGTTTTATCCCACTTGACAGGACACGCCAGACGTCTTCGTTAAGCGCCAGTCTGGTTGTTCCGGTCCCGGTCTTTCTAAACGTGTCTAATAAATCCCAGTCACGAGGAAGCCGGAGTGGTGCTGGGAGCTGCTTTCAACTCCAGACCCAGAGGAGTGAGCCGCGCTGGTCTGGGTTATTAACCGCACGTGGGGGGGGTCACTAACGCCGAGCTGCATGAGTGTCACTCTCGTCCTGTGGGTCCCGCATGCGCGCCGCTGTCCTCCTCGTGTCCCGCTCGTCGTGCCGGGATGTGTTCCCCTGACTTGCGGTGTCGTTGGTTTTAAGCGCGGTCCCCAGCCGCTTGCTGGGCGCCTGCGATGGGAGCGGGGCTGGGCTCGGGGGCGGGGGGCTGGCACTGTGCACCGCCGCGCGCGCGCCTGCGCGGTTCTCCCGCCTGCTGACCGCTCTCGCCCCGGGTCCCCCCTAGCTGACGGAGGAGAAGTGGAGCTTCTTCCACGCCTCGCGCTCCCACGTTCACCGGCCCTCCTGCGTGGCCGTGGAAGTGGAGCGGCTCAACGCCCTGCAGCTGGAGAAGAAGATCGGGAAGTCGAACCTCGGGAAGGTAGGGAGCCGCCGGAGAGCAGGGCCGAGTCTCGAGGCGGGGTTGGTCAGTCATGCAGGTGCAGACACAGCTGGTTTGAGTCAGTCTCATCATCTGACAGGCTCAGAAGCAGAATGTTTTATCCACCCCACTGCCGCTCGGTACCGACGTCAGCTGAGGACTCAGAAGCAGCTCCCCCAGTAGCTCTCCTCCTGGCCGAAGACAGAGAACCGAGCAAAGTTAAAGGTTCGCGTCTCCAGCGGTCTCAGTTTGACTGTGGATGATTGGGGGAAATCCATTAACAAGAATTTCCACCCCAAAAAACTCGGTTTGGGACACCAGCCCGCCTCCGAGGTGCAGCCGCCAGGGAAATGCCTGGCGTCATCAGGATGCTGTGTTTCCACGGCAACCTTGAGGCTGGCCTCCAGGAGAACAGGCAGTGAAAGTCAGGGAGCGACTGTCAGCCTGCCAGCACAGACGGGACCACTGGAGGTTGCTAGATAAAACCTGAACTAAGTTTCTGAGCAGGCTCACCAGTGCAAGAGAATCCTGACTTGCAGCCTGTGCACAGTGCTTGTCATTTAGGTCATCGTGTAATTTTATGTGCGGCTTGTTAACTGTTTTGTTCCACAGAAGCAGTTGCCACATGTTTCTCTGTGACCCCTGACCCCTGACCCCTGTGCGCTGCCTGCAGGTCCACCTGGCCATGGTGCGGTACCACGAGGCGGGGCGGTTCTGCGAGAAGGACGAGGAGTGGGACCGGGAGTCGGCGCTGTTCCACCTGGAGCACGCCGCGCTGTGCGGGGAGCTGGAGGCCATCGCTGCCCTGGGCCTCTGCCACCTGCAGCTGCCCCATCACATCCTGCCCGAGGTCACCCTGGAGGTACGGGCGCTGAAACAGCTAGACAGCTGAGGCCCTCAGCTCTGAGGCTCCTCCGGACTGCAGTTACGCACCCTGTCATCTGCGATCACACACTTGAATTTGTGCAGTTCAAACCAAACGGAATTATTAAAAACACGGTGCTCCTCCGGGTGTAATTTAAATAATAACACACTTATTCGTTCCCAGATTTTAGTTATTTCGAGTACCTTTCTTGGCAACTACATAGATTGTATTTTCTACTTACTTTTGTTTCTTATCTTTTTTTTTGGTTATATTTGTGTTTTATTTTTTGTATATGGGTTCTTAACAGGACCCCCCTGAAAACAGACTTTTACCCTGTCTGTAAACTCTGAGGGGAAAAAACCCGAAGTCTGTCCTAGTAAAGTTCCCTGAATGATTTCTCATGGAGCCGAAACTGCCGAGGTTATCCATCTCCAGAGGTGTTTGTGGTGACAAAACCATTATTTCTGCAGCCATAAAAAGCTGAATCTTTAACCTTCCAGGCAGGATAGGTGCTTCAGCTGAAGCTACTTGGCGCCTGGCTTTTTTCAGTGAAGTTTCCTGAGGCCCCAGAAGTGTCCCTGCCTGTCAGTCGGAGCTGTAGGCGTGCGCGGGTCCGAACCGTGTGCTGATCCAGCCCTGACTCAGTCCCCTGCGGCTTGCGACAGTCCCCATGTGAAGACGGGCTGGGTCTGCAGGCAGCCTGTGACCTGCTGCTTGAGTGCGGGGGTGCAGTAGGGTGGGGTGCCCCAAGATATTATTTTATCCCTTTTCCCTCCTCTCCCGAAGGACACCGAGGAGAACAGGAAGAAGGGGTTCCGGTTCCTCCTGGAGGCTGCTGAGGCGGGGGACCGGCCCTCCATGATCCTGGTGGCCAGAGCCTTTGACTCCGGGGCCAACCTGGCCCCCGACAGGTAGGCAATAATAATTACTGATGATAATCTTGCGTTTATACAGCGCTCTCCTGGACACTCCGCTCAGAGCGCTTACAGGCAGCGGGGACTGTGGGAGAGGGATGAAGCCAGTTCAGAGACCGGGATTATTAGGAGGCCATGATGGGTAAAGGCCAGGGGGAAATCTGGCCAGGACACCGGGGCAACACCCCTACTCTTTTTGAGAAATGCCCTGGGATTTTTAATGACCACAGAGAGTCAGGACCTCGGTTTTACATCTCATCCAAAGAACAGCACCTTTTTACAGTATAGTGTCCCCGTCACTACACTGGGGCATTAGGACCCACACAGACTGCAGGATTAGTGCCCTCTGCTGGTCCTACTAACACATCTCCCAGCAGCAGCCTAGCTCTCCCAGTAGGTCTCCCATCCAGGTACTGGCCAGGCTCACACCTGCTGAGCTGCAGTGGGCTACCAGCTCTCCACTCACCAGTGCCTCCCTGTGCCCCGCAGGCCGCAGAACTGGGAGGAGGCCGTTGGCTGGTACAACAAAGCGCTCAACATGACGGACTACGACGAGGGTGGCGAGTACGACGGCATGCAGGACGAGCCCCGCTACCTGCTTCTGGCCCGGGAGGCCGAGATGTACCTGAGCGGGGGGTTTGGGCTGGATGCAGACCCACAGAGGTCAGGTATGTCGGGGGACAAGCAGAGAGAGAGAGGGGGGGCGCCCTCTAGAGGCTGGTCTTGTGCTCACAGCCAAGGGGTACACCTCTCTGACCAAGAGAGTGAGAAACGAGTGGCCGATAGCTGCCCAGACTAGTCTCAGCTGTGCAGAGATGTGTAGGCCCCCTGTTCGGCACCTGCAGTTCATCACCCCCATGAGGAGCTGTTCCCTCACCCCGCCTCTCTTCCTGCAGGGGACCTGTTCACGGAGGCCGCGGACGCTGCCATGGAGGCCATGAAGGGCAGGCTGGCCAACCAGTACTACATGAAGGCGGAGGAGGCGTGGGGCATGGTGGGAGAGTGAGGCCACGCCTAGCGAGAGCTTCGAATTGAATTTCAACATCGGCGCGACTGTTAACCCATCACCACTGGGAAGCCTGTACTCTCTGTCCGAATCCAAAACTGTTTACAGACGTTCAGCACCATAGTTTTCGATTGATTCTCTTTTTTCAGTGCATACATGTAATTGCCCCTCGTGGGGAGAGCTACAGACTCTATACAGTAATGCTGTAGCATCTGAGTTGCTTTTTACAATTGCAGAGCAAATAAACTTTTAGCAAGACAGAAGAATTGTTGTCGCAGAAAGTCTAGGACGCCGCCATGCCTTTTTACTGTGCTATACTCCCAGCGGATCTGCACCTTGTATCTACTCGCCCCACTGTGCTGCGACCTGATTTGTTTTTATGTTTTATGTGCTTTTTAAAATGTAACTGAATATAATTCCTTTAATGGCAGCATAAAGCAGAAAGTTGTTTCTTTTGGTGCATGGGAAAAAAAATAACTGAAAAAGCTTTGTTTACAAGATATTAATATAATTTTTTTTTAAAGCATTTAAATTTATATCTACACATAACAGGTTACTGTGTGAAGGTGAAGGAGCAGAAGTGGCAGGGTTTTTTTTTGCTAATCGAAGCTCCGAACCTTGTAATTCTGTGGGAGAAGGAGGCGTTGCGGTGGGGTTGTGCAGCTATCTCAGCCTCGCGCACAAAAGTGTACAGTGCTGTGTTGTTGCAGCTTGCATGTGCTTAGGCCTCCTGGGAATACGCACTCTGTATGATGATGGTGTAGTTTCTGAGCATGTCTGACCCGAGATGTGGGCCTTTTGTGAGCACTTCAGAAAATAAAAAGCATCAGTTCCTTTTGAAACTTGACTTTGATGCATTTTTGTTTTCTCCTCCTTGTGGGATTGCTTGTTTCCTGTATTTCTTACCTGATAGCAAACACTTCGGGGGGGGAGAAAAACTAACTTGATGTCAATGCCGATGATTAAAGTGACAATTGCTGGAAGACAGGCTGAAGATGAGAATCCTTACATACATGAAAACTGCCTGTGAAAGAAGAACCATTTCCTTCCTCCATTTCTCCTTCAACCTTGATTTACCAGGTGAGCCCATTGAAGAAACTCGTTGCCCTGGCAACACATCCTGACGTATCCCAAGTTTTTAGCCGTTTGACTCCTCAGCCATAGTGAACTAACCAAAGCTACAGGACCAGCTTTGGGCATTTTTGAGACTAAAATAACTCTTCATTACTCAATTCCTAAGGTTTCTCGCGAAGAAACCTCTCTTAAGCCATTCAAGATGTGAAGCTTCAATAAAAATGCTTTGGAAAATGTTCTGCAAAAAGAATGAATTTATATCTCCTAATTGGAAAGCGTACAGAAGTGTCGTATTGGATAAGTTCCATCAGCACAGAAGCCCATAATTGTTCATCTTATTTCATACATTTAGCAGAGTGCTTCTCAGGTGCTCATCACCTCTAATATACTTTTAAAACAGAGCAGTGCATATGGAAAACTTGGGAAAAGATGGGGCTGAGATGGGAGTTTAAACTTAACGCACGGACAAGCCATTTCATAGACTTTCTAAATGAGGACAGAGACATCCACTGCAGATGCAAAGTGAGTATACTGTGGGTCTGGTCAGAGTTCTAAACAGGAAACGGAAACTTGTTCTGAAGCTCTTATTCAGAGTGGGCGGGGCTGCCTTTACCCCGCCCACACAGTTTTCTGCGGTTACTGAATGTGATATCTTAGATTGACACTTCCCTTTAACAGAAATACCATAATTTATTTTACAAAGAAACTAATTTAATGCAAAGTTATCAAATGAATACAACAGCGGCGCTCTGCGGTGCAAAGTCTCATATTCAGAATTCAGAAAAAAAAAATGTTCTTTAAACAATGAAATGCACAGTGAAAATTATTTCATATAATTGTAAAATAAATACCGGATTAATTTTATTTTAAGAAAAGCCGGCACATTTTTCGTAACTGACATCGCTTCTACGGCGTAATCCTTTTTTTTTAAAGAAAACTGAACGCATCAAGCTAATTACGTTCCTAAAACTAATGTATTGCCCCTTCAATGCGTATTAAAACGTAAATACAGTGTACAGTAGGCTATGAAAGCAGATCCTTGCGTTTTTCCTGCAAGCGCATATGTAATAACAGCGATTGAAACACGTCGCCCATTTCCACGGTGTGGAAATGCAATAACATCACATCTTTCCAAAAAAAAAATATTTTTTGTAATTGCAGAGCAGCAGAGCAGAGGGTTGTGACTTCACTGCGATACCGAGGGGTGAGCCTGCGGAGGTAGCGTGGCCGAGCGGTCTAAGGCGCTGGATTAAGGCTCCAGTCTCTTCGGGGGCGTGGGTTCGAATCCCACCGCTGCCAGGCACAGGCTTTTTTTGTTACGCCTGCCTGCGCTGCGCCCGCCCAAGCGCTTTCCGGAGCTACTGCCTGCAGCGCCTCCTGCTGGCTCCAGACGGCATGTGAGCCAGCGAGAGCGCCCTCTGCTGTCCGGAGCACGACAGTGCCCCCCCCCCCCCCCGCTGTCTCACGGCATTGTGGGAAGGGACCCTGACCAGCTCCTCCCCACGTGTCTGGGAAGCTGCAACATGGCAGCCGCCTGAACTCGCAGCCGCCGCAGAGGAAACACACCGGGCTGGGGTACAGGGGACACCCGCCGTGAGCTGCCTGCCTGAAGGGAGACCACTCGCCGGGGGACTGTCTGTGTCCGTGCAGGTGAGGCGGCCAGCTCCGGACGGTCCGGTCTGTTCGAACGACGGACGGGAAGAACCGTGGCACTTTTTGTCCATCGTGGGCCTTTTAAAAATAATAAAAGGCGTTTCATCTCTTCCGCGGCACGACAGAAGAGGCGTTCGGGAGGAGACGTTTCGGTCTTGTGCGCGAAACTCGTTGCCCCCGCTGCGCCGTCTCACGGGCTGTAACGAAACTTGAATGACCCGGCTGTCGAAATATTGGAGCGGCCGAGATAACTTTCTGTCTCACAAACACCTGAACGTGACACGGACGGCAGGGGAGACGGATCACTCGCCACCGAGCGTGTTGTTGTGTACGGGGCTCGCTAGCTGTGATAGCGGTCTGGGTGTGAATTGCGACCCGTTGCATCATGTTTGTTTAAGAGCCCAGAGTCGGAGGACGCGACTGGGCATGCGCTGTCTGTGGTCCAGAGTGTTGTGACTTGGCGAATCTGGCTTGGCACCCTAAAATCGTTCGTGAACGGGTGTGTGCGGGTCTCAAGTTGAGGGCGATACCTCAGCGTTGTGGGTATTATGTGCATTAACAGTCTTGCAAAAGACCGGGTGCTGAATGTGACCTGTCCAGCAAACCCGGTTCTAAAGCAAGGTGTGTTCCAGAATCTAAGGTGTGCTCAGTGAAACAACACCTGCCTCGGCTGTCTCACTGCGGGCGCAGGCGGCAGGCTGTCTTTCAGTGCAGGGGGACAGTGGTTTGTGTGCTGCAGTGACGGGCTCTCTCTCTTCCCCAGGTGTGGGCACTGAGCCAGCCCCTCCACCCCTCCAGAGGACAGCTGCCAGTCCCTGCCCTCGCCATGGCCAGTGAGGATGACGACCCCATCGTACAAGAGGTAGGCGCCCCACAGGTCTCCGCAGGCCCGGTGCAGCACCGTAACACAGCTCACCGGCCAGCCATGCAGTGGGATTAGGGTGCTGTCTCCACCTGTAGGTTTGGGGTGTAATGTAACCGAGCGCAGACTCAGGGCGAAACCCTCCCAAGCCTGGACACAGCGATGACGGAGTGACGCAGTTTTAGGTATAAGAACAAGAGGAGAGCTGCTGACTAGAGCCCATCTTGGCTAGTGCATTGCTAGTCTTTTTGTGTTCCTAACAGCTGGAGCTAGTAGCTTATTTCTCCAAGGATCCTCTTCCTCACTTCCCTGAATGATCCCAGGGAATCTGCTCAACAGCATGACTGGGAACGTTCTTCCAGGGCCCCACAGCACATGAAGAAGAGCCCTGTGGTACCCCCTCTGTTTCCACTCGTGCCTGTGTTGATCTTGTATCGCTGCGGGCCCTGATGTAGTCCTCTGGGGCGGCTTTGTCAGTGCCTTCCAGAATTTCACACACTTTTAATACTCCCAAGAGCTGGTGAAGTTTCCAGTTAAAGTGCTGTGCAAGCCGAAGCTTTGAAATTAAGAAAATCACGACGGGTATAAGGATTTGAAGGGATGCCGGACACAGATCAGAAGTGTAGTGTTTTGTGACGCGTGCATGATGTGATTGTTCCTGTGCTGTGTGACTGAAGAGCAGAGTCTACTCTGTGCCTGCTGGTTTCAGCCCAGTCTGCCCTGTTTGTTTCCTCAGATTGATGTTTATCTGGCCAAAAGCCTTGCTGACAAGCTCTACTTATTCCAGGTAAGCAAGACCATGGGAACGAACCAGCTGCAGTAACTCGGCCTGTTATGAGCACTTACATTCGATTAACAGACTAGACACACTCGTGTAAACGTTGTTTTAACTTGACCTAGTTTGCAGAACACTCACCAAGTAGTCAGTGTTTCTTGTCAGATGTTTTCAAGTTAAGAATGTTGTGTCATGGGCTGTGGAAGTCTAACTGGTTGAGGTTTTCAGTTAGCTTCAGTGTCTCTAGTGGAGCTGCTGTGAGTTTCCAGGCTTGGCCGTGCAGGGGTGAGTAGGCTGAAGCCTAGGGAGGGGCTTTCTCTGTGTGTTAGTTCGCAGAGCTCGGGGGACAGCCATGCTGATTCAGCAGAGGCGAGTGGGCCGCAGGTGATCCATTTCCTGACTGTTGCGTTTATTTTCCATCAGTATCCAGTGCGCCCTGCTACAATGACCTACGATGACGTTGCTCATTTATCTGCAAAAATCAAGCCCAAACAGCAGAAGGTAAGAAGGAATCTGAGCTTGTTAAATGGCTGGTTCCTGAATAAAGGCTGTGAGCTGTGGTCAGACTGGTTTTGTAGCAGCTAGCCGTTGCCAGACGGGTAGTCCCGGGGAGATGCACCGGGGAGTCGTTTGTGTCGTCGGTGACGGTCACGGCCGTGTCTCACCTGCGCAGGTGGAGCTGGTGATGGC